CAAGAAGGTTGTCCAGCTCCCATAGGTGACTACTGGCTGCAGTGTCTTGGCCAAGCTAATTTTCTATCTCCCAGGCAAGGGTTTTCCCACCTGGAGATTGCTCCATTGCTTTCTATCATTCCCGCTGGCTGGAGAAGTATTGGACTCCCTATAAAGGAAACATTTCTTGGTGGCCACGCTGCATTTTCTCCCTACATAGCTCCTGGGTCTATTTGTGCACGTTGGAATACAGCGCACTCCTGCAGACAGGAGAAAACACTGGGCCCACTGAAATCCATGGAAAATTCCCACTGGAGGAGAACGGTTTCAAAAGCAGGATACTCATTTGTCTATATGGGTATTATTATGTCATTTTGGCTAGGTATGTATATTCATATATATATACACACAAACACGCACACAAATATATATGAAACAACTTCCTTTCAGCTATATATTGAGGGCTCTTCTTTCTCCCATCAATCAACCCCTCTAGTTTCTGGAACATTTCACCTCATTTTCACTTGGTCGCTTTTAACTAGATACTGTTTTTCCAGACAGCAAACTACCAACTGTGCGCGCTGTTCCAGCCCTGCTTTTCCAACTCATGGTGCATCCTCCCAGTGCCACACTGCAATACCTCCTCGCCTGGTGCATCTCCTCTCATCTGCTCTTTCTGCAGAGCCACAGCACATTTACCCTCTACCATCACCTCCAGGCCTCTTCTCTTTACCTCCCCTAGGAGCCTCTCTGTCCTTCGATGTCAGGCTCTTCCCATCACCTCTATGAATTCTGGCTTGGGTTTTCACTTTTAGACTCCTTATTTTTGGCCTGTCATTTGAATAAGTTTTGAGTCATTGTTCCTATCGAGCCAACATTTATAAATAGCTCTATGCATTGCAGGTACGTGATAATCAAGTCCTTTGGTTTTTGAGCCGTTTGGTTACTAAATAATAGCAATAAAAAGCATGCAAGCAGCACGGGCGTTAGCCCAGGGAATGTTTCCGCCATTGAAGCTTGCAGGAGGCAAATGCTGAATCTGGTAAAAGAAATTAGGATTATTACTAATGAGTGTTATGATTAAGTTTACAACACTAAATGGTGAGGTGTCATAACAGCTGAGGGTAATACCTAGGAGCTGCTTTTCAGAAAAGCAGCAATCTTTTCGAAGGAAGAAAAGGAAAAGCCTTTTGTGTGTGGAAAGTCACTGTTTATCTTAGAAAAGCAGCATAAAAATCCACTTGTATAGATCACTTCCAGCATAATATAAAAACCCAGAGACAAAAGGCTCAGTTAGCTTATTCTTACAGCTGCAAAGCATGTGTATAGCTCTGTGGATGTACAGGTATTACTGTTTTCCTTCAGGAAAACCTATGAACGCTAGAACCTAAACGGATATGGGAAGAAACCTTCCACTCCCCTCAAAATCAGCTATAGTCTTCAAAGTGGAAAGAAAGCACAACTGATCCCAAGGGAATGTATCTTCCTAGCTGTACATATCTCCATGTGTTTATTGTAGGCAAATCTATGGGCCACAAGAGGAATCCCAGCACTGGTCACAAATACGCACTACAACAGCACAGCCCTGCTGAGGTGAGTGGGACTTGTGCCTCTATCTGCTAGAGTGGGGCTCTGCATATTAGGCTCCAGCCTCCCTTCGGAGGGGTGTGTATATTATATATTCATTCCATTTAGAGCTATGAACGTACGTATAAGGGTTGTAGGCTTAAATATTGGTATGTAGAGCACCTGAAATCAAATGGCACCTAATTTAGGGTATTGCTAAGCAGAGCGATGCTCCCTGTTATAGGTAGACCCAGACCGGGCTGTTCCTCTGTCTGCACAGGACAACAGGGACCAAAACTACTCTTCCTTCTCCAAATCCCATCATGGGGCATGATGTGCCTGAGGTGCACAGCCCTTGGGGCAGACCCCTGCTGTCTCCCCACTGCAGAGCAGGGTGGCTGCTTGGGGGGACCCTGCAGCACCCTGCTCTGCACCAGGGTGGCTGCCACCCCACTGCCTGCTCCCCCGTCCATCAGCTGTGCTGCTACAGAGGCCCTGGCATGACAAAGACTTACCTAAAGGAGCGGCCTTGGAGGGAGGCTACTCCAGTGGATAAAATTACCCAGAGATAGAAATCTTCATGGGATTATGGCCTTTAAAAAGAACCCCAAAAAGGCCAAGTTACAGTAATTCTTTGCGGCTAATTCTTTATTTAATTTTCTATCAGGATGCAGATTACAAAAAAAAGCCAATTTTTGAACAGAAATTCAGTATTCTGAACGAATGAAATATGCATTCGCCAAACTAGCTGTTAACACACGGCTGGGGCTGCCACAAGCCTCATTCTATAACGCTGTCTTAGAGAATACTCGTACTGGTACAATTAAAACCCTGTATTGATAAAGTAATGTCTTATTATGCTGCACTCCAGCCTTTTAGTATTATTGTTTTGCTGTTCATAGAGTCTCATTAGAGGCGGGGGGGGGGGGGGGGGGGGGGTTAGAGTCATTTTTTAGCACACAGGATTCGCAATGTCTAAGGCAAAAAAATAGGGAGTGTAGTGCTGTAAAAACCCCTTTCACTAGGGGTCTAATCTTTCCCGCAGTGAAATCAACTGGGGCTTTACTATTGCATCAAGCAACGGATTTGGCCCCAGTTATTTTGGATTTAACAGGAGCAACCTTGCTCCCTTGAGCATGGGCGCTATGTGTGTTCCTCAAGTCAGGCCTGCAGTAGCAATAGTCTCTTCTTAGAGATCTGTTGTTCAGCAATGACTGCTTCTGTCCTCCACTATAGAGACGTGACAGACCCCAGGACCTGCTAATGAACAGGGAGAGCCACTCTGAGACCATGCTATTGGGAAACAGCGTTCCAAGAGCCCTCCTGCTGCTCACAATAGTTCATGGTTCTTTTGGGGAGCACATCCAGTATTTCTCCGATCGGACCTTACAGTTTCGCTCGCATAACCCACAGTATCAGAGCAATTCCCCACAGGTTTTAGAGGAAAGAAATCCACAATCATCAAAATGTTAATTTTGACAGTGACAAAGAGTATACGCATTAAAAATGCATCAGCCCTGTCATTAAGGCATTATTCAGCAAAACCAGCTCATCATGCTAAACAGAAAGCAACCAGAAGGAACTAGGTATAAAAGGAACATTTTGCCAAGCTTGTATTTATGGAGACCAGTCCAATCCATACTGCGCAAGATACTCAACCAAGCAAAGAGCAAACCAAACCACATCCTTTATGTGATGAAATGGGAACTCCTGATAATACTCTAAGTCGTGACTCAAGGGAAAATGTCAACTGAAAGCTCAGATCAGAGGAAGGTTTGTAATACAAACCTGGCTGTTTAAAACAGTGCTTTCCATCGCTGTTCCTGCAGCGCTTGTGAATGTGGCTTGTGTTATGGTGCTGAACTGACTAGGATTTAGCAGCTGATGGTGTCTTTTTAAAGCGTAATTTAACATTATTTCTGAGGCTGTTGAACATACTAAACTACAAGGAAAAAAATCTGCTTTCAAGTGGTATTAGAGGAACACGAGGATCAGAGTGCTAGCATCAAAGATGTGTCTAAAGAATAACAGATCCACACATCTGTGTAACAACGAGCACTCCACTCGCTACTGAAGGCAACAGAGTAAGATTCCTTTGGCAGTTGTTGGAAATAATTAAGCAGAACATAGATGGCCTTTCAATTGCTAAGCGAGAGACAGAGAGAAAAGACATTCTCCATCATCCCACCTCTCGCTCACAACCTAACGCTCACCCCATGTCTGGCTCACCCATGTTAAAAATCATTCTTAGCCTGAGCTTATGGGAAGGATCCATTCAAAAAGGCTATCTCATCACAGTACTCTTGGTCTTGCTTTAAAATGGCTCCTGATCTAATTCATTTCAGGCTGAAATGTGGTCTCACAATTGCAACTACGAGGTAGCAAAAGCTGGGATCATCCGGGCGTGCAGAGACGTCTCAAATGGGGAAACATAGGGATGATCACACCCTGCTCCTTGCCTCTGCCAGTCTTGGGGGCAGAGGAGCAGGGGAAAAAAGACTGAAAGCATGAATGCTATGCCTGCATTTTCCTAAGCACAGCGTCTGAGAGGCTAACCAGGCTTTAACCAAAGGCTGTGCCCTGCTGCTGAGACTGGAGAGAGGGACAGATGCACCTCTTCTTCTGTGTTGGAGATGAGGCATGGCTTGGCTAGTGATGGGAATCAGTGCTCCCTTGCTTGTGTCTCCCACCTGCAAGTAGCATTTGGGGAGTCCTGAACTCTTGGGGGTATGGGGAGGGGCAAAGAAGCCACCACCTGAGCTCCATCTAGGGAAACAACCTCTTGGCCCTGAACAAGGTGGGGCCTCAGGCTGATGAGCTCTGGGTGCTTCCCGACCAGCTGAGCGTGAAGCTGGCGTCTAATCCTGCTCCCACCGGGCTGGTACCGTAGGGTGAGGGCAAGGGGGGCATAACCCCCACGATGCAACCGGCCGCAACCTGCTCCCTAGCAGCGACCCAGGCTGGGAACAGGAGTGTCCCCAGTGGGCGTGCGGGCTGCTCGCCGTCTCCCCGTCCCGCACAACGCGCCTGCGGTGGGGCCGCATCCCGGGCTCCGGCGGCAGGCACAGGCGGAGCCGGGGCCGCCCCGACCCTGCGGGCAGCCCGTGTCCGGCCGGTGGGGACCCCCGGTCCCCCTGTCCCTGCCGGAGAGAAGCGGGGGGCCGCGGGCCGGTCGGTGCCGGGGCTTCCCAGCCGGGGCGAGCAGCTTCGCCACCAGCGGCCCCGGCACCCCGGGGGCCATTTGCGGTGTGTTCATTCCTACGAGGCTTAGCAAAGCCTTCCCCGTCTCCCCAGCCGCGGGCTTGCTCACACACACACACACGCACACAGAGGAGCGGGCATCACCCCCCCCACCTTCCGCAGGGGAACAGGGCGTCCGAGCTCCCCCCGCCCTGGCAGAGACACAGACAGAGTGAAACATTGCAAAGCGTAGGAAAAGATGGAAAAGGTGCTACCTTGGCAACTAGAGGAGGTTAGGAGCCAGCTGGTGGGCTGGGGGCGGTCGCGCTGCCTGCCTGCCTGCCCGCCGCCGGTACTCTCCTCGACTACGCGTATTCTTAAGCAATAACAACGTAATCCGTATTATCCACCCAAGAATACCCGTCACCGAAGAGAGTCAGAAAGCTGCTGCTGTTGCTGGTGGTGGTGGTGGAAGTGCTGCACCGGGACAATAAATCCATAACTATAATTCCCCTCTAGAAGAAGGAGAATCCACAAGGGTTGCCGAGTGATCTTGTCCCATATCCAATGGACGCTGAACCTTCCCATCCTGCGGAGGCAAATGAGAAGAGCAGGCGTTTAATACACACGCGTCCAGTCCCTCTGCTCTCCTGCTGCCTCACTGGAGTGGGCAAGGTCTCGCAGGCGAGGTGAAAGGAAATAAATCAAGGTAAGGTTCAGTTTACCTGGTGACCGCCTGGTTTCTCCCTCTGTGCTTCTCTGGCATCCTATTCCCTGCCCGTGTGCTCCATCAGTTCTCTCTGGGAGCTTGCAAGAGATGACACACGCAGCAACAGATTCCTGTAAGAGAGATACACGGTTAAACACACAAATATTACAAATCTATTTGCATAGGTGGGCTTGGGAGAGCTCCGATAAAGCAGCAGCCACGCCTGAGAGACTTTTCATCTGGGCTTCGGAAACGCATTTTACAAGTCCTGACTCACACCGACTCGGTGTGCTACCAAGAGGAGGGAGGGCGGAAAGGAGAGCGGCAAAGAGAAAGAAAATCAAAGAAAGACACCGCAAAAGGCTCCGAGCTCAAGCAGAGGCGCTCGCTCCTGTGCCGGGCCTCCCCGGTGCCATCAAAAAACCCAAGTGCCATCAGAATCTAAGGCGAGAAAAAGGCTTCAAAGTACACATCCAGCGCGTTTGGCTCCCCGCATGTGCCAGAACGGCAGCGCCCGGCGGCTGCGAGGCACCGAGCCGGGCGGGCAGCTTCGCGGCAGCGCAACCACCGCGCTGACACCCGCCGCCCCCCCCACCCCCCGCACGCGCTCTCAAAAGGCGAACCGGGGATGGGGGGAGGGGGGGGGGAAGAAAAATAGTAATAATAATAATAATAAAAGAAGTTATTTCCAAACGGTGCCTGCGGCTCTGCCTGTCACCAGGCGCGTTCCCTTATCAGCAGCGCTCGCACTTGGCGGGGGGGGGGGGGGGGGGAAGAGGCGGGAGGGGAAAGCTTTGTCTGATGATCTGCCGCGGTGATAATAAACGTTTATTGTTCGCCCAACTAAATAGAAAGGATCTCTGCCACGTCATGGCACAGCACACTTCTCCTGGCGATTGGGAACTTCGCCGGGTTATTTCACCCCGGCACCCGATGCTTGAGGACCAGACAGCTTCTGTAGGATTGACGCGTGAAAAGTGGCGTGTGTGGGGGGAGCTGGCAATGCGCCGCCAGACCCGCGCAGAGCGGGGATGCTCCGCACTTCTGCAGCCAGGAGTAATTATGCAGCACGCACCGCTCTCATTATCCACCGCACTCGGTAACTGACCAGCTTGTTGATTAGATTCCGACTGAAATTAATACAAGATGCAGGGTTGGACTTGATGATCTTAAAGGTCTTTTCTAACCAGATTGATTCTATGATTCTAATGCTTGCTTTTTCTACAGATTCCTTCCTTAACATGAGCCCTGGTTTCCCTTGACATATTACCACTATTCTGCCTATGAAAACATACGAGAAGACAGCATGTGTTTTGTAAGTCAGAGTCTGAATTTGAAAGAAAAGAGAAAAACAAAGTGAAAAAGAAAAAACAATACTTTTATAGCCATACAATCTTAAATTAAGAAAAAAATAATCCCATTCACTCTCCTCTATTTTAATCTCATTTTAGGTGTAATTTCCTATATTCCTCTAACAGCAAGCTTTCAAGTCGTATTCTAAATGGCAGCTGGAAAGTAAATACCAAACACTGTCATTTTTCCCCGCTGTGAAATTGAAGGCTGCAACCCCATTTAGCTGCCGTTGCAACTCAAATAACCGATGTGGTGGCTTTCCTTCAACTTGAACAAAAGCCGTTTGAAAAGAAGTAAAACGCACCGAGTCGTGGCGAAAACACTCTACGGCGGCACACCTGGACCGATGTTCCCCGAAATCTGGAGCCGCTCCACAAAAGAATTAGGCAAAAATCCAAACTTTGGGGTGTTGAGGATTATTTTTTTGTGTTTTCATATTAAAACATGCGATTCTCGGGGAAATCCATGCAGTTCTCTGTCCGTCTGGCACTGCCCTTCCCCTGAACGGCATTCCCCCCCCCCCCCAAGCCCCCTCTAATACCGCACCTGCCGAAACTTCCCTTGCCCGGCCCCGCGCCGACCCCCACCGACCCACCGGGCCTTTCAGCACCGGGGTTGCGGACAGCTCCGGTCAGCGCTGAGCACCCCACACCGCTCCGCACTTCCTCCCGCCGGCAGGTCCCTGCCCGCCCCAGCCCAACCCGGTACAGGCGCTCCCAGTCGCACCCCCCCCCCTTTCTTCTCCTCCACCCTCCCCTCCACCCTAACCCCCCCCCCCCCCCCGGGCATGCTGAGCACCAGGGGAGCGAACACCCCGCCGCGCTGCTCGCCTCGCACCTTCCCCGCTGCATGCGGGAGGTGCCGCCTCGGCACTAAATACCTTTGTTCACCGGCTCCGAAAGCCATGTTTACCGGCGCTTCCCCGCAGAAAGAGCCCGGCTACCGGAGCCCCAGCACGGCGGGGCCGGGGAAGGGCCCCAGTGGGAACCTCCATCGCCTCTGCCGTGCCTGGGGAGGGCGGGGAAGCGGCCGGAAGGGAGGAGAACGGGTGGAGGGAATTAAACAATTAAGCTATCAGCAGCGGAGCTCTGAGCAGAGCTCGGGTTTGCCACGAAAAGCGAATTTCAGAGGTGGGGGGGGGGGGGAGATACAGAGCCTATCCGTCGAGAGGCACGATGGGGTTGCGAGAAATTGATCTGAAGGGGGGGGGGGGGGGGGGAACGGAAAGTGGGGAGGTGTGGGGAAGAGGGAATAAAAAATTAAAAATTAAAACAAAAAGGAAGGGAAAGAAGGAGGAAGGAAGAAAATATTCACGCCCGCTCAAAGGCAGCCTCTTTCTAAAATCACTGGAAGCTTGCTCCTTTTGCCACCTACCCGAGTAACCACCAGAAATCCACCTCTATTGAAGCGCTTACCCTTTAAATCCAGGCTTCGAGCAGAACTCCAACTGTGTGTAAAACCAGGGAGTCATCTGATGTGTGATGGGGAACGGGCTGTGGGCAGCAGCAAACAGCTTTCTCTCCTGGTGCCGGATTACCATGTTAACAAACCCCGGGAAGGGACCCGGCGCCTCTGGCTGGCCATGTCTCGTTGCTTTCACACATCGGCGGCTGCTCTTGCTTCCCATGTCCCCGGCGATCGCCTCTCAGATGAATGTGGGCTTCCAGAAAAGGAGTCGGGGGGGAGAGGAGGAAAAAAAAAATCGCCTAATGCAATCAAATCGATCTGATCTACACCATCTGTCGCCTGCCACTACACACAAGCGTTAAAATAGGAAAACGGGAGACACTGACAGCTCAGGAAGGTTGTTCTGCAGAGTTCATTTTTAGCAGAGCATAATTGGGTATGGACAGCATACAGTTACCAAAGCTGCTGTTAACCATCCAGTAGAGGATCCCAAACATGCTAATGGTGGATTAATTGAGGAAGATCTGACGTGCAAGCTTCATAGTCTCTTATTCATGACTTCCCAACGGGAAAGGACCAATGCCGTGTGGGACTATGGTAACACAGAGTCAAAGAGCTGCTAAGAAAATGGCTCTGTGTTCATAGCACCTCTCTCTGATAACAAACATATGTCGACCAGAGCCATTTAGCATGATGGAGGAAATGAAATTTTCTTAGCCAAGGTTAGCAATTCCCATCGCTTGCACTTAAAGACAAGGAAAAAATGGACTGTGGGGCTGAGGTGCTTTCGAGTACTGGTCTTGGGATGTGCAGCTAGTGAAAGCCAATGGCTCCTGCTCAGATGGGGGGGGGGGGGGGGGGGGGAGGGGGGAGGGTTTAAACCCCAAATCTCTTACTTCTTACTGTGACCAAAGTGCATCCATAGCAAAGCTCTAAACACGCAGCACTGCTAATTTCATCAGGAATGACGCAAGGTTGTTTTAATGCCAGGAACCCTTTTGACTTTTTCCAGTGGGAATGGCTTTTGGGCAAGACATTTCCGATCACTGAAATTTGACATGATCTCAGATAAATATGATTTGGGGGGGGGGGGGGGAAGGAAAGGGGCGGCGAGTTGGGAAGAGACAGAGTGTGCATCCAGACCTGCAATCACCCTTGCGGCCAACACTCCAATTTGGTCGCGTTTTCCAGTCTTTCCTGAATAATGAGGTTATGGAGACGTATATGCAATTATTAAAGTGCTGTATGTACACAAGCTGCAGACGTCTACAGCAGCGGCAGCCGCGTCTACGCGCACAGACGGGCAGACAAAGTGCGCCCGTCGGGGAGCTCTTTTCCGCTCCCTGATAAATCCATCACCAGCGGGGAGGAAAGGCTGCCAGGATGAATGGGAGGCGAAGCCCCCACCAGACCTCCCAGACCCAGGTGGAGGAGCCGGGACCGGGGATGAGGGGGGAGCAGGGCTGGGCGCTGTCCGCCCGCATGGTGCTGAACAGCAGCAGCCCGGCCCCGCAGACAATGGCCAGGCGCGACGCGGCCGTCACCGCCGTCCGTTTCCACCTCGCCCATCCCTTCAGCGGAGAATAATAACGCTAAAAATACTGATGTAAACGTTCCGGTAAATAGTTTTTTGGGGATAATTCTGGAGTTAACCGCTTGCCTCTCCTGGAAGTTTGTGTTAATCTCTTTAGAATAAATGTAACAGTTATGAATTAGATTAGCCTTGAAAATGTAGCCTAAACACAAATCGAACAATTTACCCGATCTTTTGTTTCAATATGCATTAATTAAGCACTGCTGCCTACCTACACGGCATTCTTGGGTCCCGGCCACAGTGCCGAGCCATCAAGCCTCCCTGCCTTTGTTCGCATTTGCGTCCAACTATTGCCCTCTGCAGGTCAGGGCCCAGCCGAGGCAAGCGCTCCCCGGACCCTCTTCTCGGAGAAGAACTTAGTGTTGGTTTTGCTTCTGCAACTCGAAGGCTCGGGCGCGTCGCTTTAGGAGGGGCTACGAGCGAGGAGAGCGGGCTCCAGAACGGAGCAGTGCTCCGCCTGTCCCCAGATCCAAGCGCTGCCAGGGGAGCACAAGACAGAACAAGGCGAGGTGCAGCTCGTTGTTTGCTCTCGCCCCTTCTCTCCATTCGACTATGGGAAACTTCTCAGGCAAAATCTGCCCTTTCCCCGGGTTTGCCGAGGAACAAGGCAAAAACCCAACACCAAACAGGGCCAGGCGGGTACCGGCGCTAGGGATCCCGCCCCACTTCCCTTCGCCGGGCAACTTTTCCTTGGGCACAACTTGAGAGTCTGCCTCCCGCGCTCCGTGTTTCGGGAAAGCCAAGCGGGCTGCGAGGGGGCAACCCTACATCATTCTCTTCTTCCCCCAACCCCGAGCCCCTATCCCAAAGGATAAGATGCGGGTCCAGCGGGAGCTTCGGGCACCGCCAGGTGCTGCACAAAACGCCGAGCCAAAACAAAAAACCACCCCAATGTTAAAGCCATCCACTCATTGTTCCTTGTGATTCAGAACCAGCAGTGCCCAACAGAAAGCGGACGCTCCCTTTCTTTCCCCCAGCACACCTGAGCACAGGTTTGTGCGGACCCGCTTTCTACCCGGTGTTAACAGCTCCCGCGGGCTGCCTGTGCCCCACTGCCCTCTTGCCGCTACCAACAGGAAGGTGTTTCCTCGCAGCGGGGCGGGGATGGAGGCAGCTGGGGCGGCTGAGCCTGTCCCTGGCGCAGGCTGCCCGAGGAGGAGGAGCGGCCGCGCACCCTACGCTGCCGCGGAGGCGGACGCACAGCGCCCTTTTGTCTCCGCCGGCCCCGCGGGGCTTATCCCGCCTGCGCGGCGCGGAGCGGTGCGGAGCTGCGCGGAGAGGCGCGGGGCTGCGGCGCCCCCTGCTGGCCGCGCACGGCGACGCAGGCCCCCCACCTTTCTCCCCCCCCACACGCTGTACTCCTACCCCGGCACTTCAGGAGGGGGAAGGATTAATTGGGAATATTGAGGAAAATCTCAAGTGCTTTGGCCGGTGGGGTTGGAAAGAGATCCTGCCCCTCCACTCTGCTCTTGTGAAAACCCCTCTTGCAGCGCTGTGTGCAAGACATAAGAAGGACATGCAGCTGTTGGAGCAAGTCCAGAGGAGCTTGAGACAGACTGTAGCTGCCTACTTCTTTCTTACAGAATATCCCCAAGACTTTCTAGCTGGAGAATTGGGTGGAGAGAACCCTCATGAGGTTCAACAAGGGCAAGTGCAGGGCACTGCACCTGGGGAGGAAGAACCCCAGGTACCCGCACAGGTTGGGGCTGACCCACTAGAGAGAAGTTCAGCTGAGAAGGACATGGGTGTATTGGTGGATGATGAGTTGACCATGAGCCGGCCCTTGAGCCAGGAGGGACAAGAGTGGAGTGTCCTGGGATGCATCAGGAGGAGTGCAGCAGCAGGTCGAGGGAGGTGATTCCTCTCCCTCTCCTGACTGAGGTGAGGCCACATCTGGAGCACTGTGCCCAGTGCTGGGCTCCTCAATACAAGAGAGACAAGGAGCTACTGAAGAGGGTCCAGTGGAGGCAACAAGGATGCTCAGGGGACTGGAGCATCTCTCTTGTGAGCAGAGACTGTAGGAGCTGGGCCTGGTTAGCCTGGAGAAGAGCAGCCTGAGAGGGGATCTCATCAATGTAGATCAATAGCTCAAAGGGAGGTGCCAGGAGGATAGGGCCAGACCCTTTCCAGCGGTGCCCAGTGACAGGACAAGGAGCAGTGGCCATAAACTAGCACACAACAAGTGTCACCTCAACATGAGGAAGAACTTCTTTACATGAGGGTGTCAGAGCCCCGGCACAGGCTGCCCAGGGGGTTGTGGAGTCTGCCTCTCTGGAGCCATCCCAAACCCACCTGGACATGTTCCTGTGTGCCCTGCTCTGGGTGGCCCTTGGCAGGGGTTGGACTGGATGATCTCCAGAGGGCCCTGCCAACCCAAATAATCCTGTGATGATGTGTACAAATATGGCTGTTACCTAGGAACATTGGACTTGTTTATCCTGAGAGCCTAGCTCTCTGATTGTCTGGGGCATGATACCCAGTTCATAAACTGATGGAGATCCATTTCGAAAGCACTTACTTTCTCTGGCCCTACTATTCCCCTTGGAAAGCTGTTCCAGATTCTCATAATGCAGCTTCTTGAGATTTCCAGCCCACATTTATTAGGGCCCCGTTTATATCCATTTGTTCAGATGCCAATTTTGTCCTTGAACTTAATTAGCTCTGATATTTACTCCCCTCACAGTGTACTAATATTCCTTCTCATAATTTCTTTTGTTTAAATCAAGCTTTTCAGTCTTGTCTTATAAGATAGAATCTTCATTTCCCTGATTATCCCCATATCCTAGCAACTTATGAAAACTGGGTCGTGACCAACACCCAGAAATGAAGGTTTTCAAAAGGGTTCATTATTCTATCCGTTTTCTATTTGACCAAGACACAAGTAAGGAGAATGATTAGCATAAGGTCAGACAAACCACAATTCTTCTGACTTCAAGTTCTTTCGCAATCTATCAGGGACATGAGTTCTGAAAGGCTTGTGGTTTATAGCTTGGCATTACATCAATGCACATTTATATACCAATATATCATCTTCTGGAGGGGAAGAATGGCCTTGTAGTTAAGAAGGTACATTACAAATCTGGACATTTTACATTGAACACCAGGTCTGCCATAAGCAACAGAGGTAACTTCAGTGAATCCTTCAGTCTTTTGCCACATTTCACCAGCTTTAAAATGGGGCCAGCAATATTGGTCTTCTTGTCACCTCTTTTTCCTTCCCAGATACCTACTCACACTGTTACACTGGCAGAACAAGTGCCTCTTTTCTGGGTACTCCTGGTACCACTCTGAAGTCCAGAAGTGTCTGTGACCCTGAAGCTGATGGTTAAACATAGTCCCTACACCTATAAAGTCTAAGGGTCTATCATAAAAGCTGTTTGTAAGCACAGTAGGAACAAGAGTTCCTGAGATCTGCAACCCATTAATTACATTAAAATCCTTCTCTATTACTAAACTAAATCCACAGGCCAGCAGTAAAGTCCAAGACTAATTGCAAAGCTACACCTTGACTTCTGGTTTTCAAGTCTTTGTCTGGTTGACAACCAAGTCAAAACTTCATTACATATTATTGCACACAAACATGTGCACAATTTAACACCTTTTCTTCATCAGTTTTCCCTTCAGATATCAATTTCTGATCAGGTAATACAGGACAGAAACTGGACAAAGGCTGGAAGTCCCAGCAGCCCCATAGCTGGAGTGGCCCTAGTAATAGCAAACACTATCCTTGTCCTTCCCCAGCAGTGCGGGTGTGGAAGGGTGAGGCTGAGCACAGAAACAGAGAGCACTCTCTTGGGCTGAGGTGAAGCAATGATATTTATGGGAGTAATTATCACAGAGAAAAACTAGAAAAATATGATTACAGCAAATTGTAACTCTCTCAGATATGTTTTTCGTTGTTAGAAATAGCTCAGCTGAGACCAAACCAATATGAACAACAGGCTGGGAGTGTCAGACACTGATTCTCCAGAGGCTGATACCATCAGACCCTCTGAGCAGAACAGGATCCAGCTTCAGCAAATTACAGACCTGGGTGTCAGCAGCCTGTGCTTCTTCCAGGCCATTGTTCTTATGTGAAAACAGCCTATCAGAATGAGAGCTACGGGGTTGCCCATTCGCAAAGCTTACCTGGAGATGCTGCTCCTAAAGGCCACTGGTTG